AATTTGTTTACCGATTCTACCCTTATTGATGAAATAAAATAAATATTAATTATTTTTTAATTTTTAATTTCCTAAAATAAAGTAATGTAATCTTAGCCATTGATCAAAAAAATGAATGGATGAGATTGGTTTACACGGTTTACACAAATGAGTCAAGTTTTTATTTGAACGCTCCTCTATATATATATGTGTGTGTGTGTGTTCATATGGTTATTATATTAACAAAAATAATGGGATATTTTGATTTTTGTAACTCCCAATTAATAATATGGAGTTATATAAATTTTTTTACCTAAATATCATTTTCCCCTTTGTTCACATATGTTTTTTGAAATTGTAAATTTAAAAAATTAATTATTTATCATGATTAATCATAATCATTTATTCTAAGAATCAATAGCCAAAATTGGTTAACAAAGTTAACACAATAATCTTGATTAACATTTGAACCAACTCTTATATCTATATATATATATAAATATATATATATATATATATAGATAGATTATTATTATATAGTTAAAAGAGGAGTTGAAATTTTGGTTTACATAATTTAGGGATGAGGCTATACAAGCCCTCTAAATTAACTAACCTATCAATTCCTCTTTCATATATATCAAAATCAATCATTCAATCTTTCCTATATTTCCAACGTGGGTTTGTTTAACAATACCTTAGTTTAAAAAAGTTTTGGAATGAACAAATCCCTTCGATTCCAGTATGAATAGACAATGCCCAATTTAAGCCCGGTTGTTCATGGTAGTGGAGTAGGAGAAGCCCTATCACACAAAATTGCACAATCGTTTGGAATCGTTTTATGAATTGACGAAGGAGGTGTAACAGTTCATCTAATCTCGTTACAAAGTCTGCGTTGTACCATTACCCAACTCTCTCTTCCTCTCTCCCTCATTGTAACATAACAAACGATAACTTTTTTGTTTCGCATTCGATTGCATTCATAAAAAAAGGCTTTTTAATTTGTATTTAGAGGTGAGGGGCGTTTTCGCTCGATAAATTGAGAGATGAATTTTTCCTGAAAATCAAGGACGGGAATGTGTTCACTAAGAGATGAGAATTTTCGATATACAATATTAATTTATTATATAAAAACATTTATATAATATATAAAATATTATTTTAAAAAAATAGAAATCGGTAAACATACG